GTGCAGAGATGGAGGATATTTTCTATACTTCGTAAAATGTGAATATGATTTTCTGCAATTTTTAAACCTAATTGGATAAGCTTTCGATTAAATGTAATTCCAATCCTGTATCATCCAATCATTGAGGTCCAAAGGGTCCAAAATTAAACTTAGTTTGATTTTAACAAAAATTGAATTCTTGGGGTTCTTTGATATGCTGAATCTAAACATGTATTTAGATTTTTTATTTGTGGACCCCGTTATCTAATTGGTTCATATTGATGTCAAAAGGGTCCAAAATTAAACTTTGTTTGATTTCATCTAAAATTGAATTATTGGGGTTCTTTGATATTCCAAATCTAACCGTGTATTTAGGTTCTTAATTTTGGGTCCTGTTTTTTAAATTGGTCTACATTGAGGTCCAAAGGGTCCAAAATTAAACTTAGTTTGATTTTAACAAAAATTGAATTCTTGGGGTTCTTTGATTTGCTGAATCTAAACATGTGTTTAGATTTTTGATTATGGGCCCAGTTTTCAAGTTGGTCCAAGATAGGGTCCAGTATTTAAACTTTGTTTGATTTCAACAAAAATTGAATATATGGAGTTCTTTGATATGCTGAATCTAAACATGTATTTAGATTTTTGATTATGGGCCCAGTTTTCAAGTTGGTCCAAATTGGGGTCCAAAATTAAACTTTGTATGATTTCAACAAAAATTGAATATATGATGTTCTTTGATATGCTGAATCTAACCATGTATTTAGATTTTTTATTTGTAGGCCCCGCTATCAAATTGATTCATATTGAGGTCAAAAGGGTCCAAAATTAAACTTTGTTTGATTTCATCGAAAATTGAATTATTGGGGTTCTTTGATATGCCAAATCTAACCGTGTTTTTAGATTTTTAATTTGGGTCCCGTTTTTTAAATTGGTCTTCATTGAGGTCCAAAGGGTCCAAAATTAAACTTAGTTTGATTTTAACAAAAATTGAATTCTTGGGGTTCTTTGATATGCTGAATCTAAACATGTATTTAGATTTTTGATTATGGGCCCAGTTTTCAAGTTGGTCCAAGTTGGGGTCCAAAATTAAACTTTTTTTGATTTCAACAAAAATTGAATATATGGGGTTCTTTGATATGCTGAATCTAACCATGAATTTAGAATTTTTATTTGTGGGCCCCGCTATCAAATTGGTTCATATTGAGGTCAAAAGGGTCCAAAATTAAACTTTGTTTGATTTCATCAAAAATTGAATTATTGGGGTTCTTTGATATTCCAAATCTAACCGTGTATTTAGATTTTTAATTTTAAGTCCCGTTTTTTAAATTGGTCTACATTAAGGTCCAAAGGGTCCAAAATTAAACTTAGTTTGATTTTAGCAAAAATTGAATTCTTGGGGTTTTTTGATATACTGAATCTAAACATGTGTTTAGATTTTTGATTATGGGCCCAGTTTTCAAGTTTGTCCAAGTTGGGGTCCAAAATTAAACTTTGTTTGATTTTAACAAAAATTGAATATATGGTGTTCTTTGATATGCTGAATCTAACCATGTATTTTGATTTTGGACATTGGACCATAATAGGTAAATTAAAAAAATTCAAGTTCTTAGACCACATTCTTTCTGTGTCAGAAACCTATGCTGTGTCAAATATTTAATAACAATCCAAATTCAGAGCTGTATCAAGCTTGAATGTTGTGTCCATACTTGCCCCAACTGTTCAGGGTTCGACCTCTGCGGTCGTATCAAGCTGCGCCCCAGCGAAGCATTTTATTTTACATGGTAGCTCGAAAGGTACTGAGTACAATGGCAGATTCCCTACCATTCCTTGCTCTAAGACTACTAAATGATTGGTTCCAGTACATTCTGTTCAGCTGATGTTACTCAATTTAAAATGGCTTTATCTCATTTGATGATTTGTACAGTATTCCAAAAATACCAAATTGAAATAAAATGGACATACAAGCAGAATTTTACAATGCTGTTTTCTGTTGTCTGATATGACAAATCAGTACCAGATACCAAGTATCCAAACTCTGAAATCTTGTTTAAAAATAGGTTGGAACAAATTTATCATGTTTAACTGATGCAAAACTGGAACATAACACGCAGGCTCTCTCAAATTAATTAAATCTCTGTATGTTGACGATTTCAGAACTTCTATATCAACAACAGTCAAAATGAAGAACCTCAATAAAAGGGTTGTTCCTGAGAAGACATTTCCTAGAACTTCATAATTGGTTCTATTTACTAACCAAATATTGCTGTACATCTAAGCATAAATGCATATTAATTATTCAAATGACAGATTAATTTTACCCCCTCCCCCCCAAAAAAAAAATATATACAACAAAACAAAAACAATGCAAAATGACAGAACACAAAAAACAAAACTTGAATAAAACAAAATTAAATCTATCATCATCAGCCACAAAAATACTTCAACTTTAGCATTAACTTGTTTGAATTAGGGTAATACACATATAAATAGTGTAGAAATCCCTCGGTAATATGATTATACTTCTGCAGTTTATCAAATGCATAATGAACATTGATATTGTGTTTAAAATCAGTATTAGAGAAAGAAGTGTCCAAATTTGGTATCAGAAAGTGGGGAAATCAATATGCATGTGTACAAATTCTTAGCCTGGGCATAGTTGAAAAATCAAACTGATTGATAAAAGAACAAATAAACAATAAAAAAAACCATTTGTGTACTTGCACTAAAAATATGGAATTATTATATGATATTCTTATAATTTTTTAATTGGTTGTGTCCTAATGTAAAGGAAAACAAATACAGTAATTGTCCCAATTATATTTTGTGTAACTGTTCAGTGCACAAATATATAACAGGACACGATAGAAGGTTATAATATTGAAAGAAGTTTGAGAAAGTGGAATAATATTCTTTCAATTCGGGCATCATTAGAGAAACGTCTTTTTCTCAGGAGTATTACGAAAAATCCGGAGGTGTTACGAACACTGGGATTTCTACCGCTTCGAGACAAATTTTCACTCTACGGACTGGCACTGATAACTGACACATTTTCATCCCTTAACAGATATCCTTCTTTTATTAACATGACCACGATCTCTTATAATTTCTCTATTGAAAATAAATGAAATGCGACCAGCATATTACGATTCAAGGGAATATTTTAATAAGATTTAGGGTGCCAACGCCGGAAAATACTTATTTAACTATTGTCAGGACACCATTTTTACGTCACATTGCGAATTCTGAGCAGAACCGCTTAAAACGGAGATAAATAATGTTCCAAGTAAACATTATCATGCTTGGATGCCAACATAGAATCAACACATACAGAGCAAAAACGGAAAATTCATTCCCGATTTTGCAGATCAAAAACGTCATTTTGTTTACGTCTAAATCACGTGATCAAAAACGTCTAGAGGAACTCTCCTGCGTCAGTGGCTTCCCGGCTGTTACAAAAAAAAAATGTAAATTAAAAATCGCGAATATTTGGCTTAAGAATTATAAGGATTAAACACAAATTTTCTAGAGGTTATTGATGTGTAAACCGGGTCTCTTACTCACAAACTTTACATAAAAGTCCTTCGGAGTTTATTCAGTTTGTGAGTTAATCGCCCCGGTTTACACATCAATAACCTCTAGAAAAAATGTGTTTAATCCTATAGTGTCTCTGTTTTGCGGTTAATTCGTAATAGTGCCTTCATTGGCAGAAGTTAGACAGATACAGATACAGATACAGTAGGCAATCATACCATTTCTACTTATTTCAACCGTGTGGATTTTTCATGAAAATAAACTTATGAATTACTTCTGGCAAATTTGACTTATAAATCACTGCCTTTTTCAACTTTTGGCTTAGAGCGTTCTTGTTGAGGGTTAAAACAGAAAAATGTCCATGCTATGATTATGCCAAACAACATAAAATCCTAACGCAGTAATAATAATAATAATAATATTTTATTCAATAAAATATCAAGCATATGAGTTTTACAATACACAATATACAATACATAAAGACAATACTAACACATACTTTGTAAAATATAATGGCATTTTATGAGTGAAGTACCCTTAATTAAGTGCATGGAAAAAAATGTGCTGATATTTTATCAGGGATAACCCATGAAAGCTCTAAAGCTTGTTTCCAAAGGGGTCCCTTCATGAAAACGGCTTACAGTTTCGACATACAAAAAATGATAACACACAAATTAATATGACAAAAAAACTTCATATAAAAATAATTTAAATAAAAATAAGTTTAATAATATAAAAAGAAGTCTGATGAAGCCGCACTATAACTTTTGGTCAAGTACTCTTTGGCGCTAATTTTGAATTCCTTTTTTTTTTTAACATTATTTGGCAACATATTCCAATCTTGTATGCCATTAAAATAAAATGTATCTTTTTGTTGACTCTTTACTGGTGGAATCCAGAAGCTATATTCACTATTTCGTGCGAAATGATGATGAAAATGTCTCACCTTTGTAAAATTTGTATACATATAACTAGGACAATGGTGAAATAAATATTATGAACATGGATCAACATGGTTTAATCTCAATTGTTTAACACGATTTTCAATATTAACATGATAACCAATACTATTCAATACATTATGGTCAACTTTTTATCTATATCAGACTGGATAGTTAATATATATACTGTAATATGTATGTATCCAAGAGCATTTTGGCTTTATATTGTGACTTTTATACTGACTAATTAAAGTTATTATAATAGTCCCAGCTTTATGACAGGCTTTGCGTATACAGTGACCTATCGATTCAGTTCCAGCATTTTTCCATATGGAGTTGATAACACCAACCTTTCAGTTTTCGACATTTAGGAACCACAGAGACGATTTCAATTTCGCTTCGGTTGATATCTTGCTGAACCAGACGGAATCCGTCGATTTCTTAACTTTCTATTTCTATTGAGTATTTTGACTCTGGTTTAAGCAAAACCGTAATGTTGTCGGGGTTATTCTGCTTACGACTTGAAAATTAGATGTCAATTAATGTTTCCTGTATGAGCAACGATTTTTTCACGAATTTAATAATGTTTATTTCAATATTTGTAAAGAACATGTGCAGTAAATAAGGGAGAAACATGAGTTTGATATCAAGAGCCCACACCAAATGCATGCACTTGCTAAGTGTGATCCAGCCATATTTAGTAGAAGTAGCATACTTTGCATTTTTTCTCTCACGTCATATGACACTGCCCTTATTTCAACAGTACGTGAAAGAAGAAATAGAAAAACAGCATAAAAGTACCACTCCTCCTAGTATTAATTTAACAGATACGGTTCAAGATGCATTAACCCATGAAGAAATTACACTGTCAGTACTAAGCCTACAGATTGCAGAAGGGTTACCTGCAGTAATTACAGTGATAATGTTGGGTGCTATCAGTGATAAAACTGGTCGCAGAAAAATACTGTTATGGATGCCATCATTAGGAAGTGTCCTATATTCATTTATATATATAATGATTCAGTATACAGGTTGGAATTTGGATGGCTTATTCATGGCATCAGCGTTGCGAGGATTGAGTGGTAGCATGACTGCTTTTTTGGCAGGAGGAACATTTTATGCAATCAATAGTTCTGATAAGGAAAACAGATCAACAAGACTAGGTGTCCAAGAATTTCTTAATGGCATAGCTTATGCAATTGCCAATATTATGGTTGGATATTGGGTTAAATCTAATGGATTTCTTCGTCCATTTTGGTTTACATTTATTTGTAGCTGTATTTCCTTTTTAATTTCATTTTTTCTAGTCAAGGAAGTTGAAATAACTCAACAGAATCTCGCGGCAAATAGAATAAGCAGTAATCAAGGTAGTAACAACTGTTGCATTGACACATTTAAGCCATTATCACGATTCTTTAAATGCTGCAAAAATAGGAAATTAATAAAAGTATGGCTGTCAATAATTGCATTTCAAAGTTATGCCATAGTTCATCTTGGACAAATTAATACATTGGTGTTGTACTTTATTGGTCCGCCATACCAGTGGGATTCTGATAAATTTGGTGTGTTTGCTGCTGTTGCTATGGTAGTTGCTGCCATCGGAGCTGCAGCATCTCCAGTTATATTAAAGCCGTATCTTACAGACATTAATATTACATTCATTGGTTTATTCTCCAAAGCCATTGGTACCATGTGGATTGCTGTAGTAAAGAATGAAACTGTGTTATATTTTGGTAAGAGCAAGTTTGAATTTAGATAATGATGAAGTTGACAGGGAGAAGGAATAAAAGATAATGTTGGTAAGCATCAATGAAACAGAAACCAAAACGACACAAAGAAAAAATCTATAGGGTGACTTAGGTCAACATGTAATGTTCTTGGAACATTCTTCATCAATAGATGTGTGTCTGCACAAAATGTCAAACTCTAAATGTGAATAAATTTTAACAGAAATTATAGATCTGCAATCAGGACCAAATCAAGAAATAAAAAAATCTATGGACACAAAATGTGCATATTTTTGTATATACGTGTACATGTCACAAATAGGGAGTGGCCTGAAATTGAAAGTTTCCAATTTTAAAAATAATTGCACTCCATAATTTGCATTTCACAGATCTTTTATCAGCATCTTTTAAAACATGAGCAAAAATTGGATAATTGTCCTGAAATTTTTTACATTTATGTCCACTCAATTTCAAATGTAATCTTTGATCAGAAATTTAGCATATAAATCATGACAGTTCAATATCTGTATTGTACACACCTACATGTGTATAATTTATGTGTTGACAGTGTTGTTGAGATTTTGCCCCAAGCTGAGAGACAAGAGGTCTTTGTGCTTATTTATTTTGTAAAATTGGAATGTTTTCATAATAAATGAATTATGAAGTACAATGTAATCGTCATGATAATACATAATAGGTGTACAGGTACAATGTATATACATGTAAGTTAAAAACAATCTTAAGGAACTTGTAGTAGTCCATCTTACATGTGACATTTGCTTATTGGTTTTTATACGACCGCAAAAATTTTTTGGGATCGTATAATGGTATGATGTCATCGTCGTCCGAAGACACATTGGTTTCTGGACAATAACTTTGGGATCTTATAATGGTATGATGTCGTCGTCGTCCGAAGACACATTGGTTTCTGGACAATAACTTTAGTTTAAGTGAATGGATCTCTATGAAATTTTCAAAGAAGGTTCAATACCACAAAAGGAAGGTTGGGATTGATTTTGGGGATGATGGTCCCAACCATTTAGGAATTAGGGGCCCAAAACAAGCATTTTACTAGTTTCAGGATAATAACTTGTGTATAAGTATTTTGATTTCTATGTTTAATACCACAAGTAGAAGGTTGAGATTCATTTGGGGGGTTATTGTGCCAACAGTTTAGGATTTAAGGGCCAAAAAGGGGCCAAAAACAAGCATTTTTGTTGTTTCCGTACAATAACTTCTGTGTGAGTGTATGGATCACTCTGACATTGTACCACAAGGTTTCATATTACAAAGGGAAGTCTGGGATTGAGTTGAGGGGTAATTGCCCCAAACATGGAGGAATAAGGGGCCAAAAAAGGGCCAAAAACAAGCATTTTTCAGTTTCCAGACAACAACTTGTGTTTAAGTGAATGGATCTCTATGGTATGGTTCCATACTACAAAGGAAAGGCTGGGATTGAGTTTGGGTGTAATTGCTCTAAGGAGGGATTCAAAAAGTTTGGGGGGGGGATTTTTTTTTCAAAATTTTTCAAATTTCAAATTTTTGAAAAGTTTCAAGAAGAAACCTTCAATTGCACAGTATTGTGCAATAGATTTGTAAGATCTTTGACCACATTTATTTTGTGTCAGAAACCTATATTATGTCAAAATTGTGATCACAATCCAAATTCAGACAGTCATGACAGTATCAAGCTTGAATATTGTGTCCAAATTTGCCCCAACTGTTCAGGGTTCGACCTCTGCGGTCGTATCAGGCTATACACTAGTATATTACACTAAAGTAATAAGTTTTATAGTTTGATCAAATTTTGTATGCACTTTAGACTATATAAGATCAGCTACATTTTGTACAACTGTAGAAACCATGGCCACCTCTTCCATGTCTTCTAAATAACAGTCCCATGATTAACATGATTAACATAGAAATATAATCAATCAACATGATCAATAAGAACACTGCTGGTCTTTACAGATTTGAATAAACCAGCATTTGCCACTAATGTATTGGGATTGTATCAAAGCAACAAATTGGATTAAATCTTGGCTATATCTGTGGATTCACAAATATTCTAAGGATACCAACTGTTTTATTTAATTACACGTATGGTTCATTAATTTTCTTTTCAGCAATTCTGCTACTGGTTGGAGAGTTGCTTCCTTTTCCTATGTTGAGATCCGTGGTGTCCAACAGTATTGAAACAACGGACCAAGGTAAGAATCTCCCAATGAAAACCATTTCAAGTGTACATTGAATATCTGAGTGATCAAATAGACATACATGTACATGGATCCAAAAAGAAAGTCATACAAGTTGTTTTCTACTAGAATCAATAAAATAATTTTATACAAGAATAAATGAGCTAATTGCCTCACATATTATTGTTTAAAGCAGTGTGCCAGTTTGTGCAGAGAATTGATTCTGACTTTGAATCTGTTTTCAAAGTCTTAAAAAGTTCTTTTGAAATAACAATGTACATTTGTAATAGGGCTAAGCAGTCAGAAAATTGAAAAACCTGGCAATAAAAGCTACAATATCTAACTTATGCTATGTTTTAAGATATATATATACACTTTATTTTCCATACATCTTTACTAAAACTATGCTTTTAACTTTTATTTGTCATCAGCATTATAATAATAAGGAGATGTGGTATGATTGCCAATGAGACAACTATCCACCAAAATTAAAATGAAGTGGATGTAAGCAATTATAGGCAACCGTACGGCCTTCAACAATGAGAAAAACCCATACTTTATAGTCAGCTATTAAAGGCCTGACATGAAAAATATGAAACAATTCAATTGAGAAAACTAAAGGCCTAATTTATAACAAAACAATTTACGAAAAATAAATATGACAAGACATGAACCAACTACAACCACTGAACTACAGGCTCCTGACTTGGGACAGGCACATAAAGAATGTGGCGGGGTTAAACATGTTTGTGAGCACTAAACCCTCAACCTAACCTGGGACAGTGGTGTAACAGCACAACATAAGAACAAACTATAAAAATCAGTTGAAAAAGGCTTAACTCATCAGATCGATACAAAGAAAAACACAGACAGGGCGTGGCAAGGTATATATCTATCCCTCATCCCTAACAACAAAAAAGAGACTAAGTACAGATCTGAGAGTACTGGCAGTTACTGACAGCTAGTTCAAAGCCGTTAACAACTAATATAAAAATCATGTATCAAAGACTAAAATATCAATCAGCATAATCAGTACACATTCAACATCCAATGGATTTAGTGTACTGTAAGACATCATTAACAGTCAGAGAAAAACATGACCTTGTGAAATGCCAAAATATAGGTATCAACAGATTGTAGTGCAGTGAAAGTACATATGTGTAATATTTAGTATGGTTTTAATTTACTGATAACAAAATCAATATTTATACTAATAAAAACAATATTCAAAGATTTAATTACAGTATTGAATAGGTAACCTTTTATAATAAGTTTATTTAAAGGATTGATAAGTTTACCCAATCGTATCTAAATTTCCGGGCTCGGTTAACAACATCACTGTAAAATTTAGTATGTGCTATTCCGTTTGAAATAAGTTTTCTACAGGTACAGCCAAACTTGCAAACCAGATCTTTGTATGTATGGAAGAATTTAGTAAAGGTTTTAAGTAATTTGTGGTAACGAAATCCCTGACTTGATAATTTACTAGTAGTACATTAATTAAGCTCATTGAAATTCTAAACGTCACTTACACAAGCATAGTGAACGAGTTGAGATATATAAACACCGTAAGGCGGTGCCAAAGGAACATCACTTTCCAAAAATGAAAATTAACAATAGGGAAAGAAAAATCATCCATTTTGTCGTAAATTTTTGTGTAGAGTTTCTGGTGTAATACTGAAATATCCAAATTTAGGAAAGGACAGTTATTGCTGTTAATATTTGACATCATATTTGATACATGAATATTATCTTACCATGCATAACATGTTTGAAATTGTGTTGTTTTCAAAACTTTAGTATGTATGTTAATGCATATATTTTGTTATGTAGTTGATTTGAAAAGCTCACCAGAACTTGTGTTTATGTAGTTTACTGAATATCAACTTTAAATATATTAGGTTTTGAATATGCAATTATAAAACAATTTTGCAATTCTTTAATTTATAGGCCAAATCAAGACCCTTAATGCACCTTCCCCTTTGTAATTTTAACAGTAAATTGGATGGTTTTTGTCTCGCCTTGACAGAGTAAAAAAGCGAGACATAGGTATGCTGTTTCTGGTGTCGGCGGCGTCAACAATGTATTAGTTTGTGATTAGGTCTAGTTCATGGTGAACCACTAGTTGTAGGTCAATGATATTTGGTATGCAGTTGTATTAGCATTGGCACATCTCATTACCATGGAGATTATTTGGCCCCGCCCCCTCAGTCAAGGTCTATTGACTTTGAAACTTTTCATAGTTTACGTGTATTAGTTTGTGATTAGGTCAATTTATGGGGAACCACTAGTGGTAGGTCAATGATATTTGGTATGCAGTTGTATAAGCATTGGCATATCTCATTTCCATGGAGATTATTTGGCTCCACTCCCTTAGTCATGGTCTATAGACTTTGAAAACTTTGCTAAGTTAACATGTATTAGTTTGTGATTAGGTCAGTTCAAGGGGAACCATTAGTGGTAGGCCAATGTTAATTGGTGTTCAGTTGTATAAGCATTAGCACATCTCATTTCCAGGGAGAATATATTTGGCCCCATCCCCTCAGTCATGATCTATTTACTTTGAAACTTTTGCTTAGTTTACATGTATTAGTTTGTGATTAGATCAGTTTAAGATGAACTGCTAATGTTACATGTAAGTCAATGATATTTGGTATGCAAATTTATTGGCATTTGCAAGTATCGTTTCCATGGAGATTATATAGCCCCACCCCTGATCATGGTTCATTGACTTTGAAACTTTACATAGTTAATATTTGTGTTTAGGTTTGTTTAAAGGGAACGACTTATGATAAGTCAATGGTATTTGGTATGCAGTTTTATTAGCATTGGCACATCTCATTCCATGGAGATTGTTTAGCCATGTACGTTCAGTCATGGTTCATCCACTTTGAATATTTGCATAACTTACATGTTAAAGTATTGCTATTTTAATTTCAACATTTGCATTATCAAAATTACAAAAAGGCGAGATATATCTCTGTGATAACAGTTTATTTTATATTTTATCTTAAATTATACCTAACATTTACTTCCTAAGTTCTGTGTATATAAGTGGTTTGCAGTAGCTGAAATAAAAAGAATAACAAAAGTATGACCTTATTACAAATTTATCATAAAATTGTAACAAAAACCATACTGTGCATGTCCAATCGGTCAAGGTTGCTGAAAATATTTACATAGACTATTATACTGTAGCACAGTCTCTCTCCTGTTAAAATTTTAGCTGCACACTATGTTATAAATTCTAACAGCAAATCTATGAATGTTGTTATCTAGTAAATTCTGTTAATGAGAATGTAATCATGAAATGACAAGGTCATACACATGTAAATAATGCGACATCGATTACAATATTTTGTTTAAACATAAATACATGGTTATAAGATTTAATGATTAATAACGTTATGCAAATTTGTCTGGCCAAATAGGCCTTAATTGTAGCTTCTTTTTTCATAAGGTTTGAAAAAGGATTTACTCAATTTAAAAACCATGCTAATTGTTATAGTGTAATGCCAGATGAGTGATACAGACTCCTTGGATTCTCAAGTCAAAAATATTTGTTAATGCATATAATTATAAGGTTGCACTTTGCACTTCCAAAAGGAAATGTACATTATGGTACATTTAAATTTTTGAGATGGATAAATTTGAAGAAACCAAACACACCTTTTATCATGTTTATACCAAAGTTGATGTAGGTGAGACATCATCACAACTGTCCTTTATATTTATATATACATTGTTTTTAATATTTACAGGTAGTTTATTTGCCTTGATGCATTGTGGAGAGAGTATCTCGTACTTCCTAGCACCCCTGATGTTCCAGGCTATATATTTACATACATTCAAGTTCTTCAGTGGATTTGTGTTTGTTATCTCTGTCACGCTTCTAGTCATTCCTGTTGCTTTTACTATGTAAGTAACATTCCATGTAATTCATTTTGGTTCTGCTATGCCATAATGGGAATTTGGTCAATGGTAATTTGTTAAAAACTTAAAAATACTGACAATGTTCTCGTAAAATAATAAAAATAATGGTAGACATCTTTACAATATAGCCAACAGAAAATTAGTTCTCTAATGTGGAATACCGAGGCAGATTTAGTGGGGGTTAATTAAACTTTAATTTACAATACATTTTGTAGCAAATTCTTTTTTTTAATTCAATCTTTGAAACAGCTACTGCACCAGTGCATTTAGCATGCAAATGGCAAAAAAAAAAAAAAAAAAAATTACAGAATTTATTACCAAAAAAACCCCAGGAAATATTGCATATTGGTTTCATCATTTGGCTTCATGGCCAACAAAACAACACACACCAACTGTCAGCCCTGCAAAGAATGGTAACTCCAGTATACATTTCTGGTTGCATACAAAACACATGACCTTTCCTCCTAGGTGTTTGGGGAATCATAGTAGATACACAGAAGCAGAATGCCTATGTAATAAGAAGAAATACAAGTCAGGCTGCAAGGGCTTATAATTTTTTTTAACTTGAAAATCAAATGACCCTTGTTAATGTATGGCAAACTTTTAAATAATAAAGTGAACATGTAAAATGCTTGTATTTATGATTACAAACATTCACATGAAATCAAACATCTAACAATTCTGTTTTATTGTTCAGTCCAGCTAAACTTGTGTTTGACTAGTAAACAAACGTTGTTGATTGGTTCAAATGCCTAGTGAAATGTTCAACACCTTGACAAACATTGTATTTAATGTAAACATTTCTTAAATTGGATATGATGATTTCAAAATTCAAATTTGACATTATGCATTTATTCACTGTAAAATTAATAAGACATGACAGTAGTTTGAATACTTAATATAAAATTTTTGATGCTTTTTAGATACTGTAAATTCAGAAATTTTTCAGAATGTTTTTATTATTCCAGTGTGACTGGACTGGGTAGGTTTTTGCAAAAAATAAAAACTAGCATTACAAATTTGATATCATTATAACAATGTAGCATTTTCTGAAATCATAATAATTTAACTAACATTTTGGTCCATTGTTAAGCAATCACAAGTATAAATGCTTGCAAAAATTTCTAAATTTGCAGTACATGTATATGCGTTTTTTAAAGTAATAGTTAACCATAAATGATTTATTTTGTATTTGGCAGTGCAATTAAATATGTAGAAATGAATGGACCAACAGAATATGAAAGAATGAATGGAGAAAATGAAGGCATAACTACAAGTCAGAGTTATCAACAATTACAAGATCAAGAAGAAAGTAGTCAAGCTATCAGTGTTATTAGTAATACTGAAGTTAATGTATAGATTGTAAATTACATTAATGGTTAGACATAGGTCTGAAACATTGTATAGGTCAAAAAGAAGATGTTATTTGACTTAAAGAGAATGGGGACATATGACAATCAGACAGCAACCCAACATCTCAAAAACAAAAAAGAAAATGTGTGTTTATTAGAGCCCAATCCACCAAAAAAATCTTAAGAAATTTATGTTAACATGATATTAGTTTTAATTAATGTTTTTTCTTATATTATAAAACTATTCATTTGTATGTTTAGAAGAATGAAATTGGTATACATTTGTACCTAGACACTCTGTTATTAATGTTGTTTCTCTTTGATTTATTCACAACTTTTATAGACTGTGTATGGTTTAGAGTTGCTGTTACATTGAGAAATACCCCACATCTACTTTTATCTATGTTTATATTTGATATGTAATGGAGGCTTCATGTTATAATTGTTGTATTGTCTGATTACTTAAAAGATTATGTGGTAATATCCAGTATTATTAGTTTTTGTTGAGACTTGAATAGAAAAGTGAAACTAAGAATGAAATTGCCACTTAAAGCAAAAGAATGAAAGATTTAAATGTTATGGTATTTGTTGTTTATTAGATAATTATATAATGTTTGTTAAATAGATATTCATCTTACTCATGTTTAATTATAAGTGCAATATTTTCTCACTGAAGAACTATTTCACCATATTGGAAGAAGCATTCTTGTTGTAACTAAAAAAATGTTAACAAAGCTCATAAAGCTCATGCAGGTGTCATATGTCTGCTCCCTCATTCCCATAGAGGTCACAAAGCTCATAGTTTGCTGTTAAAAACTTACTTGTAAGTTTAGACCCTATTATCAAACTTATGTCCTTTTTACTACCATTGCACTTTCAAATTTTCATGAAAAATACAGTTTTCTACCCTGTTTTCAGCCATTTATTTTGATACTTGAAGTGTAATTGTGTAAGCGGTACAAAAGTTCAGACTTTCAAAAATATACTGGACCATCAGACCAGTCAGATAATTATGTTGTCTGGTAAACAAATATTGGCTGCTCATCAGTCCAAATGTCCGGTAAACAGAATTGTCTGATCTTATATTTAAGTGCCAAAATTGAATAAATACTATGTTTAAAAATTATTTTGTTGCTATAATCATTTTGATTTATAAAATGTGGCATCCTCTTACTTTTCCCAGATTTTATCCAATTTTTGCCTCAGTTAACCTTCTTTGATCCGATTATAGCCCTTGAGTATAGATGATATTAGTGACCTACTTTTGACCTAACTACAATTTAGACTGGTTCCCATACCATAGCATGTAAGTTTGTTTACATTGTATGCAAATTCAGATATAATTCATAAACAAAATTTTTAGTTGTTATATTCCATCGCTCTACCATGGCTACATTAATGCCTCTAGGCCTAGTCATTAAAAATTGAAAATCATCAATCAACCAGAATTTGCTCTGTATTTAGTTATCTCAATAACATTAAGCTACCAGCTGATTGGCCCTCTCATTCAGAGAGTGCCAATCAAAATCCTGTGTTCATGATATGTTTTTATTACACAAACTGTTCAGGCCCTTGAGAGTGGGAGAGTCAATCAAGGGGAGGGACTGACCTTACTTGTAATTTTATGATAATTGCTATCAAAGTGTTAATGATGTTTTTTTTTTAATTTTATTTGTTAAGTAGCATTTGTAACTTATCTATTTTGCATCACAATGTTTTTAATTAATATGCACATATGTGTTATTTTGTCTAAAGGCAATATATGTGTAAGTGTAAAGTAGATAAATTGTAATATATACATTTTTCATGTAATTTCTATACGATATAAGCCAAATAAATTAAGCCAAATTGTGATTATTCTTCTTTAAAATTATTTGTTATTGCATAGTAATTTTGCAGATTTTATTTTATAGCTTTAAAAATTTAAATAATTGCAAAAATATTGATTAAACTTTTCTCTCTTTTTTTATCTTAATTGAAATTTATCACATAGATAACTTTTAGGGTTTGTATTACCAAAGCTTTATAAAATATCTTTCGTATTATGTCAAATAACATGTGTTTCTTGAAATCTGCAGATCTTAGGAAAAGGATCTGCGACAGAATATGTAGCAAGATCTGCATTAGAACAGCCCTCATAATTAAACAAGATCATATATGAAATTATTCTGAATTTCTGACATTTTTAGAAGAAGTATTTTATTCTCATTAATTTAATAGGAAGAGGGGCATTTGAAGGCTTAGCCAAAAAAAAAAACAACACTTTCCTGATAGTAACAAATGCCTGTTAATTATGCTTGAATACTTTTCAGGAATAAGGCATGGCATATTAACTTAACTCATATTTTATTGCATTACATCTGATAAATGTAAATTGTGTTTAATTTTTATGCCCCGGCCGTAGCGGCGGGGGCATTAAGTTTTACCCTTGTCCATCTGTACATCCGTACGTCCCAAAATTGGTTTCTGTTCTCTAACTTGAGTTTGCCTCAACCAAATGTTATGAAACTTATACACAATGCTTATTACCACAAAACACAGATCAAGTTTGAATTTTGGTGGCGTCACTTTAACCGTTCTAAAGTTATGCCCCTTTATAAATGGAAAAATTGCAAAATTTTCATTTTCTTCTAAATATCAAGTAATTTTTAAAATTTGAGTTATCTTCCTTTGTCCATCATTATAGTTGAATCAACCACAATCAATGCTTTATACAATGCAATGTTTAATTTTGAGTTCCACTGATAAAACACAGATCAAGTTGAATTTGGGTAGTGTCACTTTAACCATTATTGAGTTATGCCCCTTTATAAATCGAAAGATTGGAAAACTTTTAGTTTCCATTCTGTAAGTTTGCCCCAACCAAACATTATGAAACCTATACACAATTTTCATTACCACAAAACTAAGATCAAGTACAAATTTTTTGTTTCTGTTTTTCTAACTTTAGTTTGCCTCAACCAAATGTTATGAATCTTATACACAATGCTTAATACTAGATAATACAGATTAATTATGAAATTTTGTGGCGACACTTTTACCATTCTTGAGTTATGTCCGTTTATAAACATGAAAATTGCTGAATTTTTCGTTTCCGTTCTCTAACTTTAGTTTGTCTCAACCAAATGTTAAAAAACTTATACACAACCGTTCTAGAGTTATGCATGTTTACAAATAGAAAAATTGCTGAATTTTTAGTTTCTGTTCTCTACTTAAGTTAGCCTCAACCAAATGTTACGAGACTTACACACAATGCTTATTACCACAAAACTCAGATCAAGTTCAAATTTGGGTAGCGTCACTTTTACCATTCTTCAGTTATCTCCCTTTATAACTATATGATATGCAAGCGGGGGCATCATCTGTGTCCACATGTGGACACTATCCACATTTATTTCAGTAGTTGATAATTTTAATCAACATCAATGATCATATCTACATGGTTGTGTTATATGTTTGTCTTTTTGTTTGTGTGATTCGATATTCCAATTTTGGAGTACATATTCCATTTTATATTATATCACTATAGCTATTTAAAATTTTATTATTTGACTTTTATTTATCTCCGCACAGCATGAACGTGCACTTTAAGTCTTTCATTCGTTATATTTTTAAATGGTGTTAAATATAGAATTATGGTCTTTCATGTGGTGACTTCTGTAAGTGAGATGAAGAAATCAATCGCTGTCCTAATCTAAATTAAGAATTTCAATATGTATAAAATAAAAATTAGCATTGAATTTATATGGTAAGCCTTTCTGAAAGAGTAAAATTGGTACGGTTATTTCAGTTTTGTAATTTTGTTCCTTTTTTGGTTTTCATAATTTACATGATGATTTAAAAAAAATCTGATTTTGCTGTTTGTTATTAAGTGCAAACTCCTACATCACTGTATAATCCTGCTCCTTTAAGCATTACCTTCCAAAATTTAAACATAAATTAAACTAGCACCTCATAAATGTCCTTTAACAACCCTATATTATAATGTATATGCTCAAATCATAAGAACCTGATAATTGTTCTCAAAATGTACTTGGTGTCACATGAAATCTGATTTTATTTTCTATTTCAAGGAAATTCCTGAAGAATTCTAATAAGTCCCCTCCTTTTTTTATTATTTTTTATGGTATGCACTGAATTATGTTTGAATGACTTGTAATTGGGTTACAGTAAATTAGATGTAGATAGAGCAAACAATAGTATTTAAGTAAAAGGGCACATTAAGAAGGTCTATTGACAATGTATGTTTAAGAAATAATTCATGGAAGCCATAGATTTGTTGGACATTTACACATGGCCTGGGCCGTGATATTCGAATTTTATCCTGAGCGTTATATACGGTAATTTAAAAACTGAGGCGAAGGTAAGATTGCCGTGTGTATGGCTGTTCTTTTTTACCCCTGTAAGATCAAAGCTACAAATTTCAAATAAATATAAGTCTTACATGAATTATTTCTTAAATAAGCACTAGAAAAATTTGTTCAATTCTCATAATTCTTAACCCAAACACTTTTTTTTCGTTGGCTACTATTTACTGTCAAATCCAGAGTTGACATGTCGTAACTAATGAGTGAGCCGCCATGTTGACTTGCTGAAATCCACAAATGTGCAAATAATGCAATGGAATAGAAAATGAAACAACACCTACCTCAAAACTCCATTTTAATGCAATATTATCCGAATTTATGGCGTATACGTAACGGAAAACCATCAGCTTGAGAGTTTTCATTCGTATGACTGACGTCATGTTATGACATGACGTTAATGCGCCAAGATTATTCATGAAATTTCGCGGAATTTTATTTGATTTTGATTTTATACATTTTTTAAGCTCTTGTGCATTAATTCTTTTTGTTATGCATTATAATAGGAATAACGGTTCTGTAGTTTCTTTTTCAATTTCAATTTGAACACAACGAAATCGACATAGTGTTTGCACATAGGTTACGATACATGTGGATTTACGTGGGAGGTAAATAGTAACAGCCACCAATATGCACATCTCTGAGTCTGCGCCAAGTATAGATATATCGAGAATTTTATCACAGTGTTGTTTACAAAGCGAAAGAAGCACGTCATATTAGAATTAGTATTTCATACAAGGTACTAACCATAAAATGAACTAAAGCTTTTATCAGCTTTAGGTGAGAAAAGTGTGAACATGTAGTGGAATTAAAATTTCACTTATTTATTATCTTTATAATTAGATCTTTATCCATGCATAATGCAAACTCCAAAGCTTCTTTAGAAGGATCTTGTTGATGAATTAATTTGGAATAGAAGAATTGTTTCCCGTAAAAGTAGCATCACAACAAGAAACGTTTGACCTCACAGATTTAAAGTCATTGTTTTGTTAATATCATAAGATCAGTTGGTGCAAGGTTTAGGTTTTTTGTTGTAAGATCATGCTTGCAATTGAGTTTTTCAAAGGAATTCAAACTAAAAAAACTACAATGTACAAAACAAATTTATTTTAGGTTAATGTCAATAAAGGAAAAATGGAATTTGTTTCATTTCATGGGATAATGAACCATCAACAATTTAATTACAAATATGATTTTAGATCTGGCAGGTGAAAGTCAATTATTTTTCTTACTTTGTCTTTCTACTATCTTACATTGAGTATGTTATAGATATTTTATAATTTTTATATATATTGTGTCTTTCATTTGATTAATCTCATCTGGCCTATTTGCCATGTGAACTTTTGTCATTACTTGGCATCCATTGTCTGTTGTTTATTCTGATGAAACTGCTAGGACACATAAGAACTGCACAGTTTACTGGAATCATTTTAAGGTTGTCTTATTTCACAGTTATGCATGATCAACTCAGCTGTAAGCACATCTGGTTTTTTTGGTCAGGACTAATATAAAAAAAAATAAGAATATGTGGTATGATTACCAATGAGATAGCTCTCTACCATAGACCAAATGATGTAGAAATTAGCAACTGTAGTTTACTGTACAGCCTTCAACAATGAGCAAAACCCATACCACATAGCAAGCTATAAAATGTCTGGAAATGACAAATGTAAATCAATTAAACAATAAAACTAACAGCCTGATTTATGTACAAAACAAGAAAAGAAAAACAAACATAATACAGCCACAAACGTCAACCACTAAATTACAGGCTCCTGACTTGGAACAGGCACATACAGTTTTTGGCGGGGTTAAACATGTTTGCTGGCACTCAACCCTTATAAAAAAAAATATTATTATCAAGAGTTATAATTCCGTCTGTCCATCTGTCATCAACACTTTGAGTTCGGAAATTTTTTTCATAAAAAAGGGGGGATTTTCCAGTTTTCAGACAATAACTCAAAAATGCTTTGAGCAGTTTTCATGAAACTATGGTGACTTGTTTTTATCTATTGAAATAAGCTCCCTTTTATTTTTATAAATTTCTGATATGACATTTGGGAGTTGTGGAACTTCATTTGTTAAAAAATCATCAAAACTAAAAGGGCGATTGGCGTATCATGCGCTCATGGCTCAGCTCTTTATTTTAAATGTATTCAGTGATTTGGTTTTCACAGGAGAAAACTATTTACTTTACTGTTACTGATAATAAATAAATATAATGCATACATTTCATGAGTGATACAGGCTCCTTGCAGTCTATGGCTTATTACATCATTCCTGGAATCAAAATTTTCCATCAATAAATTTGAATTCATTAAATAGTGGTGTTTCAATTGATCCAATTTGTTATTGTTGCATATTTAATGTTGTATTAAAGCATTTTTGACTTAATGTCTTCATGTATTTATTTCAAATATGTCTGAATGGGTGCTTGCATAGAATGAGGGAGGTTGTGGGTTTGAACCCCCAGCCAGGTCAAACCAATGA